CCATGACGGTGTAATGTGTTACTAATGGTAACGTTGAGACTGCCGTCCCAGCTCTCTTCAGGTCATTGACCAGGTCCTCCCGTGTAGTTCTAGGCTGATCCCTCACCTTTCTCGGGATCATTGCTATTTCACGAGGTGAGATCTTACATGGAGCCCCAGTCCAAGAGAGATTGACAGTCATCTTGAATTTCTTCCATTTTCTAATAATTGCGCCAACAGTTGTTGCCTTCTCACCAAGCTGTTTGCCTATTGTCCTGTAGCCCACCCCAGCCTTGTGCAGGTTTACAATTTTGTCCCTAGTGTCCTTAGACAGCTGTTTGGTCTTGCCCATAGTGGACAAGTTGGAGTCTGATAGATTGAGTGTGTGGACAAGTGTCTTTTATACAGGTAATGAGTTCAAACAGGTGCAATTAATACAGGCAATGAGTGGAGGATAGGAGGGTGTTATCAACGCTCGACACTGATGAGCAAGCGGAGAAATCAACGGACCTTGGCGGCTGGCTTCGGTGCAAGCAGTGAGATTTATTAACAGTGTCAATAGTGCAAAAATATATACAGGAGGAGAGGAGTAGTGAGAGGACCGGGTGTCGATCAGCGGTAGCAGGAGAAAAAAAGCCAATGGAGTGATGATGGGCCGGGCTGCGGATGGTGGCGTCACTCCTGGGCTGGTCGGGTGGATGAAGATAATGACTGAGGGGAGAGAACAGCAGAGAGACAGATTAACGGAGACTGTGCATCGACCTGTGAGGTGGTGGTTGGTAAAGCTGAAGGAAACCAGGGTCCAGAGTAGAGGTCCGATGAGGAGGAAAACCAGACACGGCGGGGCAGGACAGAAACTCGGGCTACAGAAAAAAAACGAGAGAGCGTACTTGGCACAAAGAGACAACGTTAATGTACATGGGGGGCCTGAAGACAGAGAAAGAACTAGCAGGGGGGTGAGCGGTGTATAAATAAGGAGGGAGACTAACGAGGCACAGCTGGTGATAATCAGTAGAGCGGGGCAGGTGTGTCGGATCGTGCAATCAGTGCAAGGGAGCTGACTAGTGCGAGGAAAAGATGAGAGGAAGGTGCCACCGGGCAAACCTGACAGAGGGCTTCTTAAAGACAAACTAACAGGTCTGTGAGAGCCAGAATTCTTGCTGGTTGGTAGGTGATCAAATACTTATTTCATGCAATAAAATGGAAATAAATTATTTAAAAATCTAACAATGTGATTTACTGGAATTTTTTTGTAGACTCTGTCTCTCACAGTAGGTGTACCTACAATGAAAATTACAGAACTGTCCATTCTCTGTAACTGGGAAAACTTGAAAAATTGGCAGTGTATCAAATACTTATTTGCTCCACTGTATAATATAGGGATTTTAACAGTTTGTGTGTGTGTCACAGGTGTGACAGTACTTAAAGGACAAGAAGAGACTGAAGTCCATGCTCCCATTGTCATTTCTGACGCTGGAATCTTCAATACCTTCCAGAGGTTTCTGCCTCCCCACATACAGGACAAACCAGGTAGTATACAGTGCCTTGCGAAAGTATTCGGCCCCCTTGAACTTTGCGACCTTTTGCCACATTTCAGGCTTCAAACATAAAGATATAAAACTGTAATTTTTTGTGAAGAATCAACAACAAGTGGGACACAATCATGAAGTGGAACGAAATTTATTGGATATTTCAAACGTTTTTAACAAATAAAAAACTGAAAAATTGGCCGTGCAAAATTATTCAGCCCC